AAAAAAAAAAAAAAAAAAAAAAAATTCAAGCGAGAGCAACTGCAGGAAGAGGTTGATACGAGAACCAGAGTCTGGGGGGCTGGCTCTGTCTGACCCTCTCTGGGCCCCAGTTTTCTTATCTGTAAAATGAGGAGGGTTAGGAAGAAGAAGTGATGGGATGCCGGCAGGGCAAGCTAAAGGCCTCAATGAATATGTGTTCACCACTGTTGTTGAAGTCGCTCGTATTGCCGGGCTGGGCAACGATCGCTGGGGTCTTTCAGCCTCAGTTTGGCCGTTGGAGAAATAGGGGGCCAGGAAATCCCCAGAATCCACGTGGTTGGTTGGCCCTGATCACACTAACGTCCCAGGGCTGAGTTCACAGGGTGCGGGCTGGGACTTGGGGGAGTCCAGGAATCGCACCACCACCACCTTCCAGGGCGCCTAGTGCCTCCAGGACTCCACCAAGCGGCGAAGGGGGCGGGGCAGAGGCGGGGTCCGGCTGGGGCGTTCCCCGGCCCTATTGGTCTTTTGGTCCGTCACTCTTGGGTGCCCTTGCCCCGCGAGGTAAAAGCCCGCCTTGTCCGGGCCAGTCTGGGAACTCGTCTGAAAGTTTTGGCCGCCGCGCTCCGGACGTCCTGCGGACTGTGGTGAGAGGCGCGGGCGCCCCAAATTAGTAGGGGATGGGGTCCGCCGAGTCCTGGGGTGCTCCAAGGACAGAAGGACGGGGAAAGCGGAGAGGGGTGTATTTGCCATGCTCTGCGGCCTGGGGAGGGGTCTCCTGTCCGGGCTGACTCACCTCCGACTCCCACCCCCCGACAAACTCCACTTCTGCAACACACCCAGACTTTTAAACTGTTTTCTCGCGTCGTGGAACTTTGGAGGGGGACGAATGAGGACAAAACCAGTTGCAAATGGGTGCTCTCGGTCCTCCGGCACCCCAGAGTCCTTCGCTTTGTAGCGCGCTTGCTTTTGCAGACGCGATTTGCAAGCAGTTTCTCTGCCGCTCAGCTCTCCTCCAACCGCCCCGTCCTCCCTGGGTCTTCGGTGCTTCCCCTCCACCCGCGCCCACCCCCGGCTCCGGGCCTCCCAGCAGACTTTGGGGAGGTCTCGGTCAAATCTTGCCCGCTTCCCTGGGCGGGTGCGGCCCCGGTATTGCACTTGTGAGAAGGCCACCCTCTTCCAGGCTTTTGTCCAGGCTGGGCCTAGGACCTGTGTGTCCCTTGCCTGGAGCGCCCCCAGCTTTGGGTTTTCCTAAATATCAGAGATTAGGAAGTGGAGGGGGAGGGTCGCTTTAGCTTTAACTAGCTCTTGCTCAGGCCACTGGGGTTAGCGGCAGACGGGTCACTGATCCCAAGGGCCTTTTTTTTTTTTTTTTTGAGACAGAGCCTCAAGCTGTCACCCTGGGTAGAGTGCTGTGACATCACAGCTCACAGCAACCTCCAACTCCTGGGCTCAAGCGAGTCTCCTGTCTCTGCCTCCGCCTCCCAAGTAGCTGGGACTACAGGCGCTCGCCACAACGCCTGCTATTTTTTGGTTGCATCCATCATTGTTGTTTGGCGGGCCCAGGCTGGATTCAAACCCGCCAGCTCAGGTGTATGTGGCTGGCGCCTTAGCCCCTTGAGCCACAGGCGCTGAGCTGATCCAAAGGGCCTTAATAGTGCACCTACATCTGCAAGAGCCACCCTTGATTGAACCAGTTGCAGGAGGGATTGGTCGCCAGAAGGGATGTGAGGAAGCTGCCCAAATCCTTATAAGACTTGAGAATCTGTTCTTGGGAGGGTGAGCTCAGGCTCTGAAGAAGGTGAGGAGAATAATAGAGTGTCAGCAGTGATCCTAGGAGTTGAGTGTGTCTTGTCTCCTTACCTGACTTGGGGGACCTTTATAACAAGCATTACTGTCTGGCTGCACTCTTTTGTATGGAGAAGCCAAAGCAGGGTGAGATGGTTCTGTTCACTGAGCACCTACTATGTGCCAGGCCCTGAGCTAGCTCCCCTAGTCCAGCATCTCCTTCAGTCCCCAAGGACTCCAAGCAAATGTGAAAGGGTTGTCCCATTTCACAGATGTGGCAAGTGAGGCTCCTGGAGGTCCTTTCCTCTGACACCCACACTCCTAGTGAGTTGCAAAGCAGAGATTAAAGACAGGTCTGGACTCCAGGCCCAGTGCTCCCAAAACACCATTTTGCTTAGGGCAGATGTCAAAGCAAGGCCACCAGGAGGCTGGGCTTCCTCTGGAAGGAAATGTGCAGAATCAAACTCAGAGGTTCTTAGCCTCACACCAGGAAACCAGTCTTTAAGGTAGGCACTATGTTTAGCCCCTTTTTACAGGTGAGATGACTGAGGCTAGTGCAGAAGGACACCCTTGCTTAACATCACATCTTATGGGGTAGAGCTCAGACTCCTGGCTTCCCTCCAGGAGTCTGTCCGAAGATGCCATGACTTCTTCATCTCACCTGGTCAGGAAAATGGAGTGAACGCTTGAGTCTGATGAAATTGGTCTGTGGTGATCTCCCTACCTTTTTTTTATTTGGAGACAGAATCTCAAGCTGTCACCCTGGGTAGAGTGCTGTAGCATCACAGCTCACAGCAACCTCCAACTCCTAGGCTCAAGCAAGTCTCCTGCCTCTGCCTCTGCCTCCCAAGTAGCTGGGACTACAGGGGCCCACCACAATGCCTGCTATTTTTGGTTGCAGCCATCATTGTTGTTTGGCAGGCCCAGGCTGGATTTGAATCTGCCAGCTCAAGTGTATGTGGCTGGTGCCTTAGCCGCTTGAGCCACAGGTGCTGAGCCTCTCTACCTTTTTTTAAAAAGCCTAAATTTTTTTTCTTTTGAGGCAGGGTCTCAAGCTATAGTTCTGGGTAGAGTGCTGTGGCATCATATCTCACAGCAACCTCAAATTCTTGGGCTCAAGCGATCCTCTTGCCTTAGAGTTTTCTGTTTTTAGTAGAGACAGGGTCTCAATTTTTGCTTAGGCTAGAAAAAGCCTAACCTTTTTTCTTTTGAGGTAGAGTCTCACTTTGTCACCAGGCTAGAGTGTAGTGGTATCTTCATAGCTCACTATAACCTTAAACTCCTGGGCTCAAGTGATTCTCCCATCTCAGTGTCTTGAGTAGTTGGGACTACAGGTACAAACTATTATGCCCAGATAATTTTTCTATTATTATTATTATTTTTTTTTTTTTTAGAGACAGAGTCTCAGTTTATCGCCCTCGGTAGAGTGCTATGGCATCATACAGCTCACAGCAACGTCCAACTCCTGGGCTCAGGTGATTCTCTGGCCTCAGCCTCTGGAGTAGCTGGGACTACAGGCACCTGCCACAACGCCCAGCTATTTTTTTGTTGCAGTTCGGCCAGGGGCAGGTTTGAACCAACCACCCTTGGTATATTGGACTGGTGGCCCTACTCACTGAGCCACAGGCACCTCCCTTTTTCACAGGGTCTTACTGTGTTGCCCTCGGTAGAATGCAGTGATGTCACAGCTCACAGCAACCTCAAACTTCTTGGGCTTAAGTGAGTCTCTTGCCTCAGCCTCCCAAGTAGTTGGGACTACAAGCTCCCACTACAGTGTCTGGCTATTTTTTGGTTGTAGTTGTCATTGTTGTTTAGCAGGCCTGGGCTGGGCTCAAACCTGCCAGCTTCGGTTTATGTGTCTGGCACCCTACTCACAGAGCTACAGGCATCGCCTAATTTTTCTATTTTTAGTAAAGATGGGATTGCTCTTGCTTAGGCTGGTCTTAAACTCCTGACCTCAAGTGGTCTTTCTGTCTCAGCCTCCCAGAGTGCTAAGATTACAGATATGAGCCACTATGCCCAGCCCCTAACTGTTTTATGAATAAGTAATGCTCTATAGTCAGAAACCTACTTCCCATCCCACCCCCAGCTGTGCAATCCTCCTGCTGAAGAGGCAGCCACTGTCAAGTTTCTTCTATCTCAGCTTAGCACTGGCCACATGCACTGAGGGTGGCAGGTTCAAACCCAGCCCAGGCCTGCATGACAATTGCAACAAAAAAATAGCTGGACGTTCTGGTGAACACCTATAGTCCCAGCTACTTTGGAGGCTGAGGCAAGAGAATCACTTAAGCCCAAGAGTTTGAGGTTGCTGTGAGCAGTGATGCAATGGCACTCTACTGAGGGTGACGTAGCAAAACTCTGTCTTAAAAAAAAAAAAGTTTCTTCTGTCTCTTTATTTTATTTATTTATTTATTTTTTGAGATAGAGTCTCACTATGTCGCCCTCAGTAGAGCTGTGGAATCACAGCTCACAGCAACCTCAAACTCTTGGGCTAAAATAATTCTCGTGCCTCAGCCTCCCGGGTACCTGTGACTATAGGTGCCCACCACAATGCCCGGCTTCTTTTTTTTGCAGTTTTTGGCTGGGGCTGGGTTTGAACCTGCCATCGCCAGCATTTGAGGCTGTCGCCCTACTCCTTTGAGCTACAGGCGCCACCCAATGCCCAGCTCTTTTTAGAGATGAGGTATTGCTCTGGCTGGTGTCAAATCTGTGAACTTAGGGCAATCCACCCACCTTAGCTTCCCAGAGTGCTAGGATTGCAGGTTTGAGCTGCTGTACTGGACCCCTTCTGTCTTTTTCAAGATTCCATGCAAATGCAAGCAAAAACATTTGCCCTGGCTGGATGTGGTGACTCACTCAGGTAATCCTAGCACTCTGGGAGGCCAAGGTGGGTGGATTGCTTAAGGTCATGATTTCAAGGCCAGCCTGAGCAAGAGCAAGATCCTGTATCTTAAAAATTAGCTGGTTATTCTGGCAGGCACCTGTAGTCCCCGCTACTTGGAGCAAGAGGATCATTTGAGCCCAGGAGTTTGAGGTTGCTATGAGCCATGATGCCACTGCACTCTACCAAGGCTGACAAAGTGAGACTTTATTTCAATAAAAAAAGTTTGCCCTGTTTGACAGTTCATTGGACACTTTTTGTCTCTTAACAATATTGTGATCTGTGTCAGTTTTGCATAAATCTCATTCTTGAGGTATTGTATTGGGACATGCTGCTTTTTGGTTTGTTTTGTTTTTGAGCCAGAGTCTTTGTTGCAGGAAGACGAGGCCCAACGTAGAGAAAGAGCACCCAAACATCACGTTTATAAGAGGAAGGGCTTTATTTACCGTCTGGGAGCTTATGGCTGTGAGCTTACGGCATAGAAGATTTTCAAATGGCCGTGCTCCCCTCCTGGCTTGGTCTTTCTCTTTTTATCAACAGTCAAAAAGTTCCATCCCACAGGTACCCTTCTCACTGGCCAGTTTGAATCAAGCGGGAGATGCTATTCCAGCCCCTACAGAATTACAAGATTTCATAGAACTTAGAAATTTCTAGGTTCTAGGAAGTTAAGTTTACAAATTCCCAAGAACTGAGTCACCATGGAGACGACCCCGCAGGTGTATCCTTGTGGTCTCCTTGAGAAGACCTGTTCTCCTAGACCTCACCGTTCTTGGGTATCCTCTCTCATCCTCACTTGGTCATCTTTGGTAGAGTGCCACGGGGTCTTAGCTCACAGCAACCCAAACTCTTGGGTCAAGTGATCCTCTTGCCTCAGCCTCCCAAGTAGCTGGGACTGTAGGCTTCTACTGAAATGCCTGCCTATTTTTTAGAGACAGGGTCTTGCTCTGGCTCAGGCTGGCCTCGAACCTGTGAGCTCAGGCAATCTACCCTCCTCGGGCTCCCAAGTGCTGGTCTTACAGGTGTGAGCCACTGTACCCAGCTCTTTTTTGTTTAGTTTTCATCCTCTTTCACAGGGCATCCAGGTTGCTTCTATTATCATTTTGTGGGTGACAGGTACACAGACCTCGGGCCCAGCTAGCAATGCAGGTGTGGCATCTTCCCTGAAGTAAGGTTTCTGGGTCAAAGGGAAGATAGCTTTTGGCACATTGCCCTCTGCAGAGGTTTGTGGACTGTACCTGTTTCTGTGAAGTATAGGTGATACTGGTGAGCCCTTGAAGTGGCTGCTCCCAAACCTAATGCCTCAAGGTGTGGACTGGGACAAGCTGTGTCACCACTACAATCTGGGAGTTTGTTAGAACTGCAGAGATAGGTTGGCCCAGCCCAGATCTGCTGACTCGGGAACCTGCTGTTGGACAAGGTCCACAGTTGACTCTGGTAGCAATGGGGTATTGATGGACAGTTTTGAGCCCTCTGTCCCTCAGTTCCAACGTGGCCTAGTCCCTCCCTCCAGAGAAAAGTCCAGGCAGGGTATACCTTATCTGTTTCCTCTGTTCACAGTGCTTGCTGCTGAGACCATGTCTGCCAGTGAGACAGAGGCCAATGCTGGCACCCAGATGGCAGTGGAAGAACCAGTACAGCAGGTGAGGAAGAACTGGGGCCAAGGACTGGGACAATGAGGCTTCCCACACCGGGATAACCTGGCAGGGAGGCAGGGAGGCAGGGAGGCAGGGACCCGCGAGCTGTGCATGGAAGCTGAAGGGGTGTCTTACTGAGTGGGCTTCAGGTTACCTCGTGCCCTTGGTGAGGTTGGAGAAATGGGAATCTCAAAAGCTCTTGTAGCAACTTGGGTGGCAGGGCTCTGTCTGACACTACCTGTTCCCTACCCCCTCTCCAGAGCCAAATTGTCCTTATTTCTGAAAGATCTCTTAGTGACCTCCTAGAAAGCCAATTTCTATTCTAGCTCCTTTATCCCCAATTTAAATAATGACCTCTTTTTAATAAACAATTTTGAATCCTCATACTGTAGAATGCACCTTATAAAATATGCCATTCAATTATTGTTAGTAAAGCTTACAAAGTTGTGTAACCATGTCTACATTACAGTTTTGTTTTTTTTTTTTTTTGAGACACAGTCTCACTTTGTTGCTCTTGGTAGAGTGCCATGGCATCACAGCTCAGAGCAACCTCAAACTCTTGTGCTTAAGCAATTCTCTTGCCTCAGCCTCCCAAGTAGCTGGGACTATAGGTGCCTGCCACAGTGCCCAGGTTTTTTTTTTTTTTTAGAAATGTGATCTCACTCTGGCTCAGGCTGGTCTCAAACCTGTGAGCTCAGACAATCCACCCACCTCAGCCTCCCAGAGTGCTAGTATTACAAGCATTAGCCACCTCGTCCAGAACATTTTTTGTCTCACCAAAAAGACACCCCATCCCCCCCTTCAGCCCCTGGCAGCTATAAATCAAATCCACTTCCTGTCTCTGTGGACCTGCCTATTTGGACATCCCACTTAAATGGAGTCACACATTGCGTGTCTTTCTGTGTCTTCTTCTCTCACTGAGCACAGTGTCCTCAAGGTTCATCTATGTTGTAACCCATGTCAAAGGCTTGTTCCTTTTTGTGGCTGAGTGATATTCCATAATATGAATATACACCCTTTTTTTTTTTTCAACAGTTTTGGCTGGGCTGGGTTTGAACCCACAACCTCCGGTGTATGGGGCCAGCGCCCTACTCCTTGAGGCACAGGCACCACCCATGAATATACAACATTTTTTAAAAACCAGTTTAGCCGGGTGCAGTGGTTCACGCCTGTAATCCCAGCACTTGGGGGGCCAAGGTCGTTGGGCCGCCTGAGCTCACAGGTTCAAGACTAGCCTGAGCCAGAGCAAAGCTTCATCTCTAAAAATAGCCGGACATTGTAGCAGGTGCCTGTAGTCCCAGCTAAGGCAAGAGAATCATTTAAGCCCCAGAGTTTGAGGTTGCTGTAACCTGTGATGCCATAGCACTCTACTCAGGGCAACAAAGTGAGACTCTGTCTCAAAAAAAGAAACAAACTAATTTATTGAGATATAATTTACATATCGTAAATGTACATTGGAGGTGCTGTATTTTTTATAGGCATGAGCCACTGTACCTGACATCTCCTTATTCCCCTTTAAACACAGCCTACTGGTCCACCCCAGGGCCTTTGCATTTGCTATTTTCTCCATGCCTTATGCTACTGTGTATCTCTGAAAATAAGATACTATCTTATATTTATTTTTTCTCAAGCAGACACACTAGGGCTTATTTTCAGGGGATGTCTTCCTCTCTGCACCAAAATGCATGGCGTGGCTATGCAGATATCCTACATAGCCACGCCCATCACTAGGTCTTAATATCAGGGTAGGGCTTATATTTAACAAATGTGTAGAAATCCTGCTAGGGCTTATTTTTGGGGTAGGTCTTATTTTCAGGGAAACATGGTATCTAGTAGGATTTTTTGTGATAATGGGAAATTATATACCTGCCATCCAATATAGAAGTCACTATCATATGTGGCTATTATGCACTACAAATGTGGCCAATTCAACTAAAAATATTCAGTTGAATTTAATTTTTTTTTTTTTTTTTTTTTTTGCGACAGAGCCTCAAGCTATCCCCCTGGGTAGAGTGCCATGGTATCACGCTCACAGCAACCTCCAACTCCTGGGCTCAAGCGAGTCTCCTACCATAGCCTCCCAAGTAGCTGGGACTACAGGCGCTTGCCACAATACCTGGCCATTTTTTGGTTGCAGCCATCATTGTTGTTTGGCGGCCCGGGCTGGGGATTCGAACCCGCCACCTTAGGTGTATGTGGCTGGCACCTTAGCCACTTCAGCCACAGGCGCTGAGCCTGAATTTAATTTTAATTAAGAGGCTGCCATGTTGAAAAGCACAGGCTGGGAATATTATTCTCATGGCTACACATGTTGCTCCTTTCCTCCCTCTCTAGTCAGGCCTTAGCTTAAATATCACCTCCTCCAAGAAGCCTTCCCTGACCACCTTAGTGTTGACAGCCCCCCTACCAGTTAGTAGCTTGTTAATCTGCTTTCCTTTTCTTTCTTTTTTTTTTATTTATTTTTATTTTTTTTATTTTTTGAGACAGAGCCTCAAGCTATTCCCCTGGGGAGAGTGCTGTGACATCACAGCTCACAGCAACCTCCAACTCCTGGGCTCAAGCGAGTCTCCTGTCTCTGCCTCCCAAGTACTGGGACCACAGGCACCTGCCACAATGCCTGGCTATGTTTTGGTTGCAGCCGTCATTGTTGTTTGGCAGACCCGGGCTAAATTCGAACCTGCCACCTTAGTTGTATGTGGCTGGTGCCTTAGCCACTTGAGCCACAGGCACCGAGCCTGCTTTCCTTTTCTTCTTGGCACATGTTACCTGACATATTTTTTCTGTGTCAGGGGTCCACAGGGCTATATAGTAAATATCTTCAGTATGGGTCGTGTGCTTTTGTCACTATTCTCAGCTCTGCCCTTGTAGCAGAAAAGTAGACACAGAGGATGTGTAAATGAATGGGCATGGCCATGTGCCAATAAATCTTTATTTATAGAAGCAGTAGGTGGTGGAATATCACTCAGCCATGAAAAGGAACCGGGCTCTAACACACAAAACAGAGTGGATGAACCTTAAAAATGCCATGCTCAGTAAGAAGTTGCATCTTCCCTATATGATGCCCTTTATGCAAAATATGCAGAATAGGCAAATCCGTAGAAACAGGAAGCAGATTAATGGTTTCAGATGGAGGAAGAAGGACTGGGTGGGTGACTGCTAGTGGGCATAGGGTCTCCTTTGGGGATGATGGAAAAAGTTCTGAAATTAGATAGTGGTGATGGTTGTACAACCTCCTGATTATATTTAAAAACCATGAATTATGTTTTCAGAGGATGAAATTTATGTTGTCTGAATTAGATCGCAGTAAACCTGTTAGAAAAGAAACAATAGCTGGGTACTGTGGCTCACACCTATAATCCCAGTGTTTGGAGAGGCTGAGGCAGGAGAACTGCTTGAGGCCAAGAGTTCGAGACCAACCTGGATAACATAGCAAGATCTCATTTCTTTTTTTCTTTCTTTTTTTTTTTTGGCAGTTTTTGGTCGGGGCTGGGTTTGAACCTGCTACCTCCAGCATATGGGGACAGCGCCCTACTCCTTTGAGCCACAGGCTCTGCCCATCTTTTTTTGAGTCAAAGTCTCAAGCTGTTGCCCTGGATAGCATGCCATGGCATCATAACTCACAGCAACCTCCAACTCTTGGACTCAAGCAATCCTCTTGCCTTAGTTTTTCTTTTTCTTTCTTTTTTTTTTTTGAGACAGAGTTTCACCGTGTTGTCCTCAGTAGAGTTCCCTCGTGTCACAGCTTATAGCAACCTCAAACTTTTGGGCTTAAGCGATTCTCTTACCTCAGCCTCCCATTGCCTCAGTTTTTCTATTTTTAGTAGAGAAGGGGTCTTGCTTTTTGTTCAGGCTGGTCTCAAACCTGTGAGCTTAGGCAGTCTACCCATCTCGGCCACCCAGAGTGCTAGGATTACAGGTGTGAGCCACGTCGCCTGGCCTGCAAGATCCCATTAAAAAAAAAAAATAGAGGGCCAGGCATGGTGGCTCACACCTGGAATCCTAGCATTCTGGGAGGCTAAGGCGGGTGAATTGTCTGAGTTCAGGAGTTTGAGACTAGCCTGAGCAAAAGCAAGACCCTGTCTCTGAAACTAGGCAGGCATTATGGCGAGTGCCTGTAGTCCCAGCTACTTGAGAGTCTGAGGGAAAAGGATTACTTGAGCCCAAGAGTTTTGAGGTTGTTGTGAGCCATGATGCCACAGCATTCTTCCAAGGGCGTTAAAGTAAGACTCTGTCTCAAAAAAAAAAGAAAAGAAAAATTAACCAGATATCCAGGCATATGCCTATAGTCCCAGCTGCTCAGGATGCTGAAGTAGGAGGATTGCTTGAGCCCAGGAGTTAGAGGCTATCTTGAGGTATGATTATACCACTGCACTCTAGCCTAGGCGACAGAGCAAGACCCTGTCTCTCTTTTTTTTTTTTTTTTTGAAACAGTCTCAAGCAGTCACCCTGGTGAGAGTGCAGTGGTATCATAGCTCACAGCAACCTCAAATTCTTGGGCTTAAGAGATTCTCTTGCCTCAGACTCCCAAGTAGCTGGGACTACAGGTACCCACCACAACACCCAGCTATTTTTTGATTGTAGTTGTCATTATTGTTTGGCAGGCCGGGGCTGGATTCGAACCCGCCAGCTCTAGTGCATGTGGCTGGCACCCTAGCCACTTGAACTGCAGGCACCGAGCTTAGGACCTTGTCTCTTTGTTTGTTTGTTTGTTTTTGAGACAGAGCCTTAAGCTGTCCCCTGGGTAGAGTGCCCTGGCATAGCTCACAGCAACCTCCAACTCCTGGGCTCAAAGGAGTCTCCTGCCTCTGCCTCCCAAGTTGTTGGGACCACAGGCGCCCGCCACAGCGCCTGGCTATTTTTTTTTGGTTGCAGCCATCATTGTGGTTTGGCGGGCCTGGGCTGGATTTGAACCCATCACCTTAGGTGGGTGTGGCTGGCGCCTCAGCCACTTGAGCCACAGGTGCCGAGCCAGGACCTTGTCTCTTAAAAAAAAAAAAAATCAGGCTGGGATCCTGTAGCTCAGCAGCTAGGGTGCCGGCCACATACACCAGAGCTGGCGGTTTTGAATCCAGTCCGGGCCTGCCAAACAACGACAACTACAACCAAAAAATAGCCAGGTATTGTGGTGGGCACCTGTAGTCCCAGCTACTTGGGAGGCTGAGGTGAGAGAATCACTCAAGCCCTAGAGCTTGAGGTTGCTGTGAGCTGTGATGCCATGGCATTCTACTGAGGGCAACATAGTGAAACTCTGTCTCAAAAAAAATTAGTGGGAGCCAGGCCAGATTTGGTCCATGGGTTGTAGTTTGCAGATCATCATGTTAGACACTAAGTGCCACAAGAATGGGACTCTTCTTGTCCCTGGTAAGGGATACACTCAAACACATGAGCTGTAAATCTAAAATAAAGGAAGGATGTGACAGAAGTTCAAAGTTCCTGGCTTGTGCAACCTCCTGGATGCAAAGCATGGGTGAGCTGAGCTGTTGCGCCAGCTGGGAGTGAAGGCAAAACCATAGAGCACTCTGGCTTTCCCGCCTGTGTCCGCCTTCCCAGCCTCGCCCATCTGAGCTGCCTCTTTCCTGCAGCAGCCAAGTGTGGTGGAACGCGTGGCCAGCATGCCCTTTATCAGCTCCACCTGTGACATGGTGTCCGCTGCCTACACCTCCACTAAGGAGAGCCACCCTCACGTTAAGACCATCTGTGATGCAGCCGAGAAGGGCGTGAAGACCCTGACTGCAGCTGCCGTCAGCGGGGCCCAGCCCATCCTCGGCAGGCTGGAGCCCCAGAGTGAGTCAAGTCCTGAGAGCATCACATCCCCCTACTCCTGGCTGATTCTGGGGGGTCTGCTTTACCCCTGGCCCTATACCCCCCAAAATCAGCCCTACGTGGCAGGCCCCAGAGGGGCAGTAACAGGTTTTTGTCTTCCTCCATCCATAGTTGCATCAGCCAGTGAATATGCCCACAGAGGCCTAGACAAGCTGGAGGAAAACCTGCCCATCCTGCACCAGCCCACGGAGAAGGTAAAGGGTATCAGCCTCAGGAGCACCTGGGGGCTCGGCTGACATGGGGACTTTCCAGGGTCTGGAATATGCAGGTTGTAGCTTAATTAGAATGCACAAGCTCAGCAGCTTCCTGCCTGTTCCCATCCCCATTGAGATGAATAATCCCAATGCCAGCCAGTTCTGGTCAAAACCCCTTTTGTGGGCCATGTGTGGTGGGTCATGTCTATAATTCCAGGGTTTTGGGAGGCTGAGGCAGGAGAATCACTTGAGGCCCAGAATTCAAGACCAGCCTGGGCAACGTCACAAGATCCCACCTCTAACAAAAAACGAAAAAAGTAGTCATGCATGGTTGTGTGCACCTGTAGTCCCAACTACTCAGGAGGACAAGGCAGGAGGATCACTTGAGGCCAGAAGTTTGAGACCAGCCTGGGTAATATAGAAAGATCCCATTCCCACCAAAAAATAAAGTAGGGCAATGCCTGTAGCTCAGTGGGTAGGGTGCCAGCCACATACACCCAGGCCAGCAGGTTCCAACCTGGCCTGGGCCAGCTAAACAACAATAACAACTGCAACAACAACAAAAAATAGCTGGGTGTTGCGGCAGGCGCCTGTAGTCCCAGCTACTTCGGAGGCTGAGGCAAGAGAATCACTTAAGCCCAAGAGTTTGAGGTTGCTGTGAGCTGTGATGCTACAGCACTCTACTGAGGGTGACATAGTGAGACTCCCCCCCAAAAAAAAATATTGGTTGCGCCTGTGGCTCAGTGAGTAAGGTGTTGGCCCCATATACCGACTGGGTTCAAACCTGGCCCTGGCCAAACTGCAACAGAAAAATAGCTGGGTGTTGTGGCGAGCGCCTGGGTGTTGTGGCAGGCACCTGTAGCCCCAGCTCCTCAAAAGGCTGAGGCAAGAGAGTCACCTAAGCCCAAGAGCTGGAGGTTGCTGTGAGCTGTGACACCACATCACTCTACTGAGGGCAACGAAGTGAGACTCTGTCTCTAAAAAATAAAAAAAATAAAAATAAATAGGGCGGCACCTGTGGCTCAAAGGAGTAGGGCACCGGCCCCATATGCCTGAGGTGGTGGGTTCAAAGCCAGCCCTGGCCAAAACCGCAAATAAATAAATAAAGTAGCCAGGTATAGCAATGTGTGTCTAGAGTCCCAGCTACTCACAAGGATTAGGTAGATGAGAGGATCACTTGAGCTCTGGAGTTCAAGGTTGCAGTGAGCTGTGATCATATCATTGCACTCCTCTCTGATCAGAACTGGAGACCCTATTTTCTTTTCTTTTTTTTTTTGAGACAGAGCTATCCCCAGGCTATCCCCCTGAGTAGAGTGCTGTGGCATCACAGCTCACAGCAACCTCCAACTCCTGGGCTCAAGTGAGTCTCCTGTCTCCACCTCCCAAGTAGCTGGGACCACAGGCGCCTGCCACACCGCCCAGCTATTTTTTGGTTACAGCCATCATTTTTATTTTGGCGGGCCTGGGCTGGATTTGAACCCGCCACCTTAGGTGTATGTGGCTAGTGCCTTAGCCACTTGAGCCACAAGCACTGAGCCTTCTTTTTTTTTTTTTTTTGAGACAGAGTCTCAACCTATCACCCTAGGTAGAGTACTATGGCATCATAGCTCACAGCAACCTCAAACTCTTGGGCTCAAGTGATCCTCTTGCCTCAGTTTTTATTATTTTTAGTAGTGACGTGGTCTCGCTTCTGCTCAGGTTGGTCTTGAACTTGTGAGCTCAAGCAATCTAGCCACCTTACCTCCAGTTTTAGGATTATAAGCCAGACCTTGTCTTTTTTTAAAGACAGAGCCTCAAGCTGTCGCCCTGGGTAGAGTGCTGTGGCATCACAGCTCACAGCAACCTCCAACTCTTAGGCTCAAGCTAGTCTCCTGCCTCTGCCTCCTAAGTAGCTGGGACTACAGGTGCCCGCCACAACGCCTGGCTATTTTTTGGTTGGCTATTTTTTGGTTGCAACCATCATTGTTGTTTGGTGGGCCTGGGCTGGATTTGAACCTGCCAGCTCAGGTGTATGTGGCTGGTGCCTCAGCCGCTTGAGCCACAGGCACAAAGCCGAGACCCTGTTTCTTAAAGGAACAAAAAAAGTCTTTGCAGCTTCCCCTTGCTCAGACCAAAGTCCTCTTCAAGGCCCACCTATCCTCACCAACCTGATCTGACCTAATCCCCTCCCTCCCCTCATTGGCCACCTCACTTGTTACACTTCAAACCCACTGCCTTTCATCTTTGCTAAGTGCTGCCAGTGCCCACATGTACCAGGCTCCGCTTAGATTTAGGGATGTGGCAATAGAAACAGTCCTTTCCCTCATGGAACTTGATTCTGTGGAGGCAAATAAATTAACATGCCCATCTCAGTCCTACCTTGGGACCTTTGTACATGCTCTTCCTGCTTCATGGGTTCCAACTTTACCTCCTAGGAGTCTTCCCACTCACAAAAGGTCTTCCTCGCTCACCACAGTCCAATGGAACTCTCTCTCACTGTGTCACCCCGTATGGAAAGCTTCAGCTACACATGGTGACTAAGCCCTTAGATTAGAATGTGGTTCATACAACTGAGGAAATGAATTCCTAATATTATGCAACTTAATTATTTTAAATTTAAATAGCCTCGCGTGGCTAGTAACCTTGTGGTTGCATAATCCTAGTGCAGTGTGTCAGCAGTTTTTGTTGAGTGCCTTTACTAAGATACTATTTACCTGCCATACCATAGCTGCCCCATTTAAGGGCTACAATGTCTTGGTTTTAGGATATCCAGATTGTGTAACCTTCACCATCAATTTTAGAACAATTTCATCAGCCCAAAAGCAGCCCCGTCCCCATCAGCAGTCACTCTCCCAGCCCCTGACAACCACTAATCTGCTTTCTTTCTTTCTTTCTTTCTTTTTTTTTGTTTTGAGACAGTCTCACTTTGTCACCCTAGGTAGAGTGCTGTGGCATCACGACTCATAGCAACCTCAGCCTCTTGTGCTTAAGTGATTCTCTTGCCTCAGCCTCCCGAATAGCTGGGACTGTAGGCACCCGCCACAACTCCCAGCTGTTTTTAGTTGCCGTTGTCATTGTCGTTTATCAGTCCTGGGCCGGGCTTGAACCCACCAGCCTTGGTGTATGTGGCCGGCGCCCTACTCACTGAGCTATGGGTGCTGAGCCCACTAATCCGCTTTCTGTCTCTATGGATTTGCCTGTTCTGCTGTTTTTTTGCATGAGCGTGATCATATGCTATGTGGCCTCTCTTGTCTGGTTTCTTTCCTTTAGCATAATATTTTTAAGGTCCATCCATTTTATAAATATGTGTCAGAACCATTCCATTTTTAGGGCTGAATAATATCTCATTGTATGGGTGGACATATTGTGTGTGTGCGCTCATCAGTTTGTGAACACTTACGTTGTGCCTATTTCTAGGCTGTTATGACTCATGCTGCTATAAACATTTGTGTTCAAGTTACATTTGTTTTTAATTTTTTTTTTTAAATTGGGACAGAGTTTCACTATGTCACCCTCGGTAGAGTACCGTGGCGTCATAGCTCACAGCAACCTCCAACTCTTGGGCTCAAGTGCTTTTCTTGCCTCAGCCTCCCTAGTAGCTGGGACTATAGGTGCCCACCACAATGCCCCGCTATTTTTTTGTTTTTTTCTTTAGCAGGCCTGAGCCAGGTTTGAACTCACCAGCCCCAGAGCATTTGGCCAGTACACTAACCTCTGAGCTATGGGCACCCAGCCTTTTAAAACATTTTTTGATCATGGGCTGGGTACCTGTAACTCAGTGGTAAGGGTGCTGGCCACGTGCACTGGGGCTGGTGGGTTCAAACCCAGTCCAGACCTACTAAACAAAGAAAACAAAATAGCCAGGCATTGTGGTGGACGCCTATAGTCCCAGCTACTAGGGAGGCTGAGGCAAGAGAATCGCTTGAGTCCAAAAGTTGGAGGTTGCTGTGTCTCTACAAAGTGAGACTCTTGTCTCAATTAAAAAAAAAAAAAATTAATCATGGTAAAACATACAACATAGAATTTACTATCTTAAAGCTTTTTTAAACATACAGCTCAGTGGTGTTAAGCACCTCCTGATTGTACAGCCATCACCACCCTCCATCTCCAGAAATACTCCAAGACCAAGAAACAGAGGCACAGAGAGGTAGAATGATTTGCCTGAGGACACAAAGCTAGGAAGTAACAAGCCAGGAGTCCAGCCCAAGCATTCTGCTACAGTGATTTTTTTTTTTTTCTTTTCTTGAGACATAGTCTCAAGCTGTTGCCCTGGGTACAGTGCCATGGCATCAAAATAGCTACAGCAACCTCAAACTCTTGGGCTCAATTGATCCTCTTGCCTCAGTTTTTCTTTTTTCTTTTTTTTTTTTCGAGACAGAGTCTCACTGTGTCGACCTCTGTAGAGTGCTGTGTTGTCACAGCTTATAGCAACCCCAAACTCTTGGGCTTAAGTGATTCTCTTGTCTCAGCCTCCCAAACAGCTAGGACTACAGGCACCTGCCACAATGCCCAGCTATTTTTTGGTTATAGTTGTCATTGTTGTTTGGCAGGCCCAGCTTGGGCTTGAGCCCATTAGCCTCGGTGTATGTGGCCGGCACCTTACTCACTGAGCTACAGACACTGAGACTTGCCTCAGTTTTTCTATTTTTAGAGACGGAATCTCACTCTTGCTCAGGCTGGTCTTGAACTCCTGAGCTCAAGCAGTCTACCTATCACAGCCTCCCAGAGTGCTAGCTGATGCAGTGATTAAAGTCATGACTGGCTCGGCGCCTATAGCTCAACCGGCTAAGGCGCCAGCCACGTACACCTAAGCCCGGTCCCCCAGCCCGGACCCGCCAAACAACAATGACGGCTGCAACCAAAAAATAGCCGGGCGTTGTGG